GAGCACTCGGACACCCGCAGCGACGTTCACCAACATTGTTCTCCCGTCACCAGGACAGGAGGGCATTCACAACTTAACAAAACTGGAGAATGGGGCTTGGGGAAGGGGTTCATGCGGGGGAGTGGGGGGATGGTGGACGGGGCCAAGGGCTCGGGAACCCAGGGCAACAATGATGCTGGGGAGCAGGACCCCCAGCCACAGGCAGGGAACAGCAGTCTAGGCATGGGGTTGCCAGGGGACGGCCCACAGCCCACTGCTCCTGGAGCCCTCCCCAAACCACAGCTGTGGGGGAGGGGCACGGGCTATCACTGCATCCCAACCCCTGCTCCATCCTGGCCTCCTTAGGCCTGGAGGGGCCCTAAGTGCCTAGGGTGCTCCATCTGCCTGCTGAGCTCCCGGGTGAGGAGGGAAGAGAGGACCTGGCCTGCATCCACACCAAGTGAGGTCTCGGCATGTGCTGGGCGGCCCGCGGGAGCAGGGGACACAGCTCCCGAGTCTGTGCTGTGACACTGGGTGGGGGAATAGGTCCGAGACCCTGGGGATCTGCTCCCCTCTTTTGCCTGAGTAGGGCCTGGAGTCTGAGGGCCGTGACCTTCTGAGATGGGGGGGTTGGGGGGGGGGTTCTCAAAAGTCACAGCCCAACCAGCTCCTGCTCCTCCAAGGCCAGAGTGGGGGCCATTGCCCAGGCCCCATGGAAACAGATACAAGTGAGGGGAGGGGCTGATGCTGAGAATAAATTAGGGATGGCTGGGGTGGTGACCCCACGTCTCTGGGTCAGGTCGGGAACAGTCTGGGTCTAGGCCACTCTGGGATTGGGGTTGCTTCCAGGCCTGTCAGAGGTCCAGATGAATCCAGGGTCGAATCCAGGCCAGTCGGGGTCCAGGAGTGGAAAAGGCCAGTCCAGAAACTGGCAGTATATCCATGGCAACGTAGGGCTGGGGAGGGGTCACTGGTCCTGCATTTGCTGCTTCATCTTTTGCAGCATCTCCTGCATGCGCCTCAGCTGGGAAGTGGGGCAGGAACCGCGGAAGGTGGGGTGAGAAATGAGATGGGAAGGTCCCGGCTCAGTCCCCAGCCGCTAGCCTTTCCTCCCATCCCCGCGCCTGCTCCAGGCCTCACCAACCTCCTCATCCTTCATCCTGATAAGCTTCTCCGTCTCAGCGTCGGGGGTGGGCAGTGGCAGGATGGGGATGGGGCTCTCCATGCGGCTGTCCTGGGTTAGTTTGCTGCAGGGTGGACACGAGGAACAGTGCTGCTGGGAGGTGCAGCCAACCTCACCACTATCAAGGCTGCCCTCCTGAGCTCCCACACCTCTGGGCTGGGCTGGGTAGACAAGTGCTGGGAAGCCGATCTCGGGGCTGGGGCAGGGTTCAAGTCTGGGTGGGCAGCCAGGACAACTTGGTTATGGAGGTGTGTCTGAGGCCAGGGGGTGCACGCCTAGGGGCGGGGGATGGTGCACCTGGTCATCTGCTGGATGCACTGTGCGCGGTAGTTCTCGTAATGCACGTCGCATGTCACGTCCTTGAGGTCATGCATGTGTGTGCGGATGAGCATGTTTCTCAGCTTCACGAAGTCGCAGTGCGCCTGGTTCTCCACTGTGGGGCAGGAGCGTGCAGTGGGTGGGGCGCCAGCCAGGGGTCAGCCTTCCCACCCAGCAGGCTGTGCCGGATGCCAGGACTCACCCTCCACGATCCCCCAGGGGTACAGTCGCCCCCGGACTCGCTGCCCCTTGGCCTCCACCACCGTGTTGCTGCCGATTACCGCGAAGGGCGCACTCTCCTGCGGAGGGGCAGGTGCAAGGGCTCACGCCCAGTTAGGATGGGTTAGTGGTTGGAGAGGGGCATGGGCCCTCAGCGCCCGGTCAGCTCCACCAGCATCACCATCAGTGACCTCTCCCCAAAGCGATCCTAGTGGAAACCCCTCTCACCCCCCAGCCTCACTGCTGCTGGCCGAGGCCAGAGCAGGTGCAGCCTACAGCCTAGGTGCAAGCATGTCAAACTCGCGGCCGGCGTTTATTTAAATGAGGCATGCGGTCCGTCTGGCCACGAGTTTGACATGCTTGTCCTAGGGCAGGGGTTCTCAACCTGTGGGTCGCGACCCCTTTGGGGGGTCGAACGACCCTTTCACGGGGGTCGCCTAAGACCATCGGAAAACACGTATTTAACTACATATTGTTTTTGTGATTAATCACTATGCTTTAACTGTGTTCAATTTCTAACAATGAAATTGGGGGGTCACCACAACATGAGGAACTGTATGAAAGGGTCGCGGCATCAGGAAGGTTGAGAACCACTGTCCTAGGGCCTATAACTGAGTTTATGCCTCCTAGTGATATCCCTGCCCAACCCTGCTCCTGGCCTTGTGACCACGTGTCCCCAGTTTTGAGCTTGGTCATAACCACTCCAGGTGCAGGGGCACTCAAAGCCACCCCATCCTCTGTTGCACAGAATGCTGGGAGTCAGTGCACACACAACCAGTGGCTGGGGATTCAGGAGGAGACCAAGGAGCAGGGTTAGGGTGGGGCCTGGCCAGAAGCTGTGCCTGTGGGCAGGCAGGAACATGGGCGCCCCTAGTCCTCTCGGGCTAAGCGAAGAGACTCTACTGCCCAGGCTACAGACCTCTGCTGCACCCCCACCTGGGACCTGGGCACCCGGTCTCCTCCAGGCGCCATGTGAACTGGACTCTGGCTCCCTCCCTGCCCACTGGACGGCACACTCACTTTCAGTTCCCGGTCCTGCTGCTTGAAGTCCTCGTCCTCGTCCGAGTCACACTCAGGGAACTGGTACACGTGGATCCCGAACTTGTCGATCTCTTCCCGGATCTGCAGTGGGGCAAGGCTGTCAGCTCCAGGGCTGGCAAGGTCCCCTGGGCCTGGTGTGTGGATGCCCGGGGTCGGCACACCTGGTGCTCTTGGAACCAAGTCCTGGGCCAGTCCCACTGCCACGGATGCTCACCCGCTCCTTCAGCTTCCGGATCTCACAGGGGACCAGACAGTCAGCTTTGGCAATGAGGGGCACGATGTTCACCTTCTCATGCAGGGCCTTCATGAAACCCACGTCCACCGGCCGCAGCCTGCAGGGAGCAGCCAGGGTGGTGAGGGGCTGCTGGGGTCACGGTGGGGCAGGGAGAGGGGGCGGGCAGGGCTCAGGGAGGAATGGCTGTGGAGGCAGGTGGCCCCTGGCCTCAGGACAGTCACGTACCCGTGCCCAAACGGAGAGATGAAGTACAGGCAGCAATGCACCCGGTTGTCTTGGATGTTCTTGCGGTTGAGGCCGCTCTCGTCGCGGAAATACTGCTCAAACTGCTGGTCCACGTAGTCGGTAATGGGCTTCCAGCTGCAGGCAGAGGGTGGCGTGAGGCCGGGCTGTAAGGGCAGCATGCTGGCACCGGGGGAGGCTGGGTCAGCTGGGCAGGTCCTGCCCCACCCCCAGCCAGGCCTGCCTCACCACTCAGAGTTGTTTACTGCATCCCCAAAGCCCGGCGTGTCCACAATGGTGAGCTTCAGCTTGACGCCCTTCTCCTCAATGTCCACCGTATGCTTCAGGATCTCCACCGTCTGGCTGATGCGCTCTGCGGGGGAGGCAGACACAGCTGGGAGGTGCCTCACTGACAGGGCCTCCCCCTCCCCCTGGGCAGCCAGGATGCTGTTCTCCTCCATCCTCGTGTTTTGGCCTCAGCCACAGGGCCCTGCTGTGGTTCAGGCCACTCCTGTAGGACCCTGAACAGAAGCCCCATGCTGTGGGGAGGGAGGAGGGGGGATGGACCTGGAAGGGCACCCCTTGAGGGGTCACACAGGAGGGGATGGTGACCAGTGCCCGGACAGCTCGGGGTTCACTCACCCTCAGCACTGAGAAGCTTCCGGTCCTTGTACAGGTCGGTCAGGAAGAGGCTGTGGACCAGTGTGGACTTCCCCAGGCCCGACTCACCTGCCCACAGATACAGGGAAGGAGTCGAATGATGTCGGAGGGCCCCGCAACAGAACCTGGCCAGCCGGTGGCCCCAGCCACCCCACCAGGGAGCCTGGCCCACTCACCAGCCACCATGAGCGTGAAATCGAATCCCTTCTTCACCGACTTCCGGTGCACCTGGTTAGGCAGCGTGGCGAAGCCCACGTACTGCTTGTCAATATCCTGGGGGCAGGGGCAGGGCCGGTCAGGGGTACCCTGGGGCTTCTGGGCAGCCCCATGCCGTCACCCATCCCGGCTCGGGCAAGGAGGCAGCAGAGGACAGAGCCCCCAGAGTGGGGCATTTCAACGGCCAAAAGGGGTGAGGCCTGTGGGCAAAAGCCAGGAGGTGGGGAGGCAGGTCAGGGGGTGGCTGGCGAAGGCACCTTTGCCCCAGCCTCAAGGAGGGGTTTGCAGGGTCCTAAGACTGTGTGCGTGTGTGTGCGTTCGCGAGTGTGTGTGCGTGTGTGTGTGTGTGTGTGTGTGTGTGTGTAGGGAGCGAGGTCTGGCCACGGCGGACACAGGCAGTGTCCTCCCTTGAGTGGTGGACAGAGGGCACCGACACTGAGACCCTTGGGACATGCCCAGGCCCTTCAGGGGCAGGAGAAGCCCGGCCTCAATACTCACCCCTCGCGAGTGTACCAGGGGGTGGGAGGCCCCGTGGCCCGGATCCAGCCGCG